GGGGGGGGGGGGTTAACACAACGTGGTGCGATGTGTGTGCGGGGGGGGGGTTGATAGTTGCAAGGCGTAGCGCTTGCGTAGTAGCCAGTGAGGGCTAACCGGTCAAGGAAGCGATGACACGAACAGGCAGGCCAACGCGGACCCATGCAACACGAAAGCGTACAATGATGCCCATCACCTGGTACATCGTCGAAGCCATTGACATACCCTTGCTGCCAACAACGCGTTTGAATGAGGTCAGCAGGGAGCCCTACAACATCACAACTAGAACCAACAATCAACCTCCAAGGCAAAGCAAACATCAAACACGCGCACAGTATACAAACTGCGTGACACAATTGACCAACGGCACCAAATACAGCGCACCAACAAGCCTGTCGCGGATCCCCAACGATTAAGAACTGCATCATCACATCAAACGCCAGACCCAAACCAAAAGCGAACAACCCAAGGAGCGAAAAACTATACGCCACACGATGACGCGCAGCATCACCAGACCACTCGAAAAATCCCATAAGCTGCTCTCTCTCTGTCCGTCCGTCTGTCTGTCTCTCTCACCTTTGCCCCAGTGCCAGCCCCCACAGGTCTTGATGCCACGGCGGGCTCGACGGCACGCGAAAGGCCACCGGTACGTGAAGATTGCCGTGCTCAGCCTTGTACTGCAGCAGGGCGTCGTACACCTGTGAAGCGTCGTACGTGACGCGAGATGCCAGAACCCCGGTGATGTGGGAACATTAGAGCCGAAAACAAACCATGACGCCGAGTGGTACCATGTAGCGCGTGGCGGATGCGATAAAAAGCCTGAGAGTGCTGAACCGTCCGTGCACCTATCGTCGTGATGCCATTTATTGAAACCGTTGGGAAGATCGCGTGAGGCCGTGATCTTACGTGAAATCAGCAGCATAGGAGCATTTGTCGAACACAGCATTGGAGCAGCGACAGCGCAGCGGCGGGGCTGCTGCCCGCACCCCTGCGCGTTTGGCGTGAAAGTCGCAGTCCCTACCTGGCGGAAAGGGGCGTCCGACAGATCCCATACGAAGCCTATCGCATCCAGCTGGTACCTGTGGCAGGGGGGGGGCATAGGGGAGGTGGGGTACTCATCATCACGCGTCACCCCGTGCTGGTTACCATAACTGCTGCTTTTGGGCCTTTGTCGCGGACGCCTGTCTGTGAAATAAACCTTACCGCGTACAGGGGAACTTTCCACCAACCATGTGTGTGTGTGTACACAGAGAAGCTGTTGCCATAGTTTCAAGGAGTTACCGGACGAGTGGTAAGATGTACAGCATATCCACCATGCTACAAGTCGGCGCTGACTTGTAGCATGGTGGATATGCTGTACATCTTAACAAAAGTACAACCGGGGTCCTTCAGCCTGCTAGAGGTGTTGGACCTCGGTAAACCCCAGGGTTGCAATCCCTGTAATCAGCGCTGCCCC